CTGTCTCTTCCTCTGGGTTAGTGCTGGTCAATGGAAAAATGATGCAAGTGCCATTGTACTTTAAATTTCTAAGTGACCGCATTAGAAAAGTAAAAAGAAACAGAGGAAATTATTTTATTTAGTCTGGTACATCCAAAATATCATTTTGTTTCTCAATGTAAAAGATGCTGAGAGATCTTACTTTCCTTTATTCACACACTTTTCAACAGAGCATGCCTTTTGTACTTAGACCACATCTCAATTCAGACCTGCAACATTTCACTTTAATAGCCACATGTGGCTAGTGGCTGTTTTGTTGAATTGCTTGAAGTTCTTAGCTTCTACTGGTTAAAATGCCGTCAAAGATCTGAATTTGAAGTATGTATACAAATTCCTTTGCAGGTTCACCTTTCTAAATCTCCGTATAATCACATGGGAATTGGAAAAATAATATCCACTTGAACATTGTTGGCATATAATAGACACAAATAATTTATCTGTTATGCATTCATTTCTTTGTCCAAAAATTTCCTTTCTTGATATTTACATGTTCATTGAATACTAATAGCTACTTTTCTTAAAATAACTTGTTTTTCATCATGCTTTGAAATTTGTATGAACTTTTATAATTTCCCTGATAGACATTAAGTAGGTTAAATGTACTCTATTTCAGTCAGTTAAATGCACGTGAGACTGTATGTCTTTTTCACTTTCTTGTGTGTCTTATGAAAACTAAAAGAATTTGGAATTAGGGGTTTGGCGCACTGATTAAGGCACCACTGAATACCTGAGTTTGATACCCAGCTCCGCTCACAATTCCAGCTTCCTGCTAATACATAAACTGGGAAGCAGCAAATAATCAAGGACAACTGGATTGATTTCCTGGCTCCAGGGCATTTGGCAAGTAAATTAGCAGATGGTGAATGTACTCTCTCTCTGTCTCTGTCTCTTTTCCTCTCAGATAAATAAACATTCTTAAAAAGATTTGAATTGAAATTATATGTAGAAAATTCTACATTTCTTGGCCTGCTTGTTTCCATTTTAGTCAAAATAAATTCAGAAGTTAAGTTGATAGTCACTGAAGACAAAAGATTTGTGTATCCTGTTAGAATATTCTTTCTTCTATACATGATTCAACAGTTGCCATATAATGAAGTTCCATTAATATGAAAAATTGGATAATATGTTCAAATTAGGTAGAAATTTTCCATTTGACTTCTAATTTCTGTGATCATGACTTTTTAAGTTTCTTAATGATTCATTTAACTTTTCTTCATTATTTCAGAAATAAGATGAAGTCCTAAAGAAATCTGAAGAGCAATAAAATAATGTTCTCTTTGTCTTGGGTCTGTTAAAAATTTCTTTTCAAGGACAGATAAAAAGGTCACATCATAGTCCATTTAATACTTGGCTTCAATCAGTTATGATATTCTGTTAATTCTGTCTCAAAAATATTTGTTGGAAAACATCCTCTCATTTCTCCTGTACCTTCTTGCCTTAATTCATGTCTTCGCCATCTCTCACTGGTAGACTTAATGATTCACTTAGCAAACTAGTATTTGGGAAGCATCCGTCAAGCCTGACGGTGTAATGATCCATGATGTCTGCTGTCACAATTTGTGTTCTCTGTGGCTGCATTAGGTTCTTGTTTGTCAGCCATCATCTGCTCCCCACCTTCCGCATTTTCTTCTGTACCATCTCTACTTATTTTGCTTCCTAAAACACTTAAATGTTCTTCTTTGCCCAAAGGTTAAATTCTGAGTTCTTTTCATGTATACTTGCTTGCTATCACGGTTTCTCTGAAGAACCTCATGAGTGTGAAATACTCATTCTTTTGTCATGACCGTAAACCAGTGAAACACTTAAAAACCCTCTTTGATGAATGCATAAATCTAGCCATATCTAGAAGAATATCTAATTCATCCTTTCATCATGGGCTTATTAAACATGTTATAGCTTGGGATTCTATGGGTGCAAGAGAGCAAAAAGCCAATAGATCTGTTCTCTGCGATTACAGTTACTGCTTTGAGAGTAAATTAAAATAACGAGACCTCCCCTGGCAAATTGTTTGGAGAGCAAGCATTAGTAAGCTATGGATATTAGAGAAAGAATACATTGTTTTTAAACTACAGTAAGCTTTCCTGGTTGTTGTTGGGAGTCAGTCGGCTTTGCCTGTGTTGGCCTGGAGATTTCTCCCGTCAGTCCCAGGAGCAGGTCATCCTGGTATTGAGGAAAGGCATATTCACTTTGGAGTAATCTCTCTCTGTTTATTGGGTAGGTCATGTAGGAGAGTATTCCAAAGATTTATGGAAAGTGGAATTAATTTCAGTGTAAAATTCTTTTTTATTTTTTTAACTTTTATTTAATAAATATAAATTTCCAAAGTATAGTTTATGGATTACAATGGCTATTCCCCCCCCCCATAACTTCCCTCTCACCCGCAACCCTCCCATCTCCCACTCCCTCTCCCATTCCATTCACATCAAGATTCATTTTCAATTATCTTTATATACGGAAGATCAATTTAGTATATTTTAAGTAAAGATTTCAACAGTTTGCACCCACACAGACACAAAGTGAAAAATACTGTTTGAGTACTAGTTATAGCATTAATTCACATTGAACAACACATTAAGGACAGAGATCCTACATGAGGAATAAGTGCACGGTGACTCCTGTTGTTGACTTAACAAATTGACACTCTTGTTTATGGCATCAGTAATCACCCTAGCCTCTTGTCATGAGTTGCCAAGGCTAATGGAAGCCTTTTGACTTCGCCGAATCCGATCTTATTTCAAAAAGGCCATAGTCAAAGTGGAAGTTCTCTCCTCCCTTCAGAGAAAGGTACCTCCTTCTTTGATGGCCCGTTCTTTCCACTGGGATCTCACTTGCAGAGATCTTTCATTTAGGGTTTTTTTTGTTTTGTTTTGTTTTGTTTTTTTTGTTTTTTTTTTTGTTTTTTTTTTTTGTTTTTTTTTCCAGAGTGTCTTGGCTTTCCATGCCTAAAATACTCTCATGGGCTCTTCAGCCAGATCCGAATGCCTTAAGGAGCTAATTCTGAGGCCAGAGTGCTGTTTAGGGCATCTGCCATTCTATGAGTCTGCTGTGTATCCCACTTCTCATGTTGGATCATTCTCTCCTTATTTCTATCAGCTAGTATTAGCAGACACTAGTCTTGTTTACGTGATCTCTTTGACTCTTAGACCTATCAGTATGATCAGTTGTGAACTGAAACTGATCACTTGGACTAGTGAGATGGCATTGGTACATGCCACCTTGATGGGATTGGATTGGATTGGAATCCCCTGGCACGTTTTTAACTCTACCGTTTGGGGCAAGTCAGCTTGAGCATGTCCCAAATTGTACATCTCCTCGCTCTCTTATTCCCACTCTTATATTTAACAGAGCTCATTTTTCAGTTAAACGCCTAAGAATAATTGTGTGTTAATTACAGAGTTCAACCAATAGTATTAAGTAGGACAAAAAAATACTAAAAGGGGTAAAATATTAAGTTGTTCATCAACAGTCAGGACAAGGGCTGATCAAGTCACTGTTTCTCATAGTGTCCATTTCATTTCAATTCTTATGAAAGCATATGTACATGAGGTCTTCAGAGAGTTCAAGGAAAAAATACATATTATAAAAAAGTGCATTGATTAAAATATTTTTGCACCAACATAAGCTTATCTTTTAACTCCATTTTTCTACAAAGATTTTGAGATATGTTTATATGGTGATAAATCATTGAAATGAGCCAGTGGGAAGGAAGAAGTTTTTTTTTTTTTTTCTGGTGTCCTTTTTCTTATTTTTCTTGGACAAGTTTTTAACAGACAAAAGAATTGAGTGAATTTTCTGTTTGCATCTTAAGGAAAATATTCCCTCCATTTCCTTTTCTTTGCTTCTTTGTTTTCCCCTAATTACTCTTATAAATACTTCTTTACCTCTCCATCCCATGGTGCTGAGTGCCATATGAAGGGCATAGAAGGCATTACGTAATAGGGCAAGATGACAATCTCTTTGCTAAATTTTATTTTTATACTGTGTCAGTGTACACACAGAATGTGAAAGAGAATACAGTAAATCAGGGAAACAATTGATTTCCCAGATTATAAAAATGTAGGCTTGGAATTGAAAGACAATACATAGTTTTTTTTTTTTTTTTTCCACTTCCAAGCCAAGGTAGGGCATAGGCAGGGAGCTGCAGTATGTACACATACAGTGGACCTGTAAATGTACTTTGTACATTTTCTATGTCAACTGAATATTCTGCAGAAAGCACACTTTCAGGGCCATTTTAATCAGACGAACTTCTATGCTGGAAGTCGAATTGTGAAAGGTGGTAGATTTGTGCTCTCCCTTATCTTAAAGGATGTACCTCCTACTTCTGTCCAGAAATGGATAGTGTGTCCCCGAAGGAAAAAGTTGTTCTCATTCCTTAACCTTTTGTGAGTTAAAACCACAAAATTGAAATATGGTCTGTGAAATACACTGCAAATATATGTGAGACTTCTATAAGCAATGCCTAAACTTAATTGATATGCTGAGACATATATAAAACACACAGTGACTGGATTGAGAAGATGAAAATTAATATATGAGTGTTTTAGCTAACACTGTGCTCTGCCCCAGAGCCTGGTGTTTATTATTGTGTGCTTTAGTAGGAGACAGAGCAGCATCAATTGGAAAAACACTTCTTGGTAGACAGAACAGTATGGCTTTCTAGTTCCTAAGTGGGAAACATGGTTCTTTGGTTTCTTTGTTCCTAGTAAGGCTAGCCCCAGCTATTTTAGCTGAACATTTTACATACTTACAGAGTCCAGGGAAGTGCATTTGGCAGCTGTTCATGGGATAATAATGAAATCTGCTATTTAGTACCACGTGCTGTTGCTGTAAAATATGGGGAGTATATTATAGAGATCATGGTGAGCAGAGCTCTGTGCACTTCAGATTTAACAAGTGCCTGAGCCTACATGAGAAAGTTGTGTTTTCATATGAGAATAACTTGTACTCTTTTCTTGCAGGTAAAGAAAACGTGCACAGAATCCGATGTTTCAGAACCTCAGAATTCCAGGTACAGTAAAATAAAGACTAGGACTTCATTAAGAAAAATTTCAATTTTAGGGAATTAGCAAGATGTTATACTGTGTACTGGATACAAGAGACTTGAACCATGATTTTCCTTAAGAAGTTTTCTGTATGGAAATGGTTTATGGTACTGGCTAGGGCACCATCAGTCCTAACAGAAGTAAAAAGGACTGTGATTGAATGAGTTTTAAAGAACAATAGCATACACATCTCTGGAAGTACTTGAAAAGGTACTCTCTTATCATTCATTATTTTAAGTTCATCTTAATTTTTCATCCTAATCTCTTCTTAAAATGTATTCACAGATGAAATTCTGCCAGACACTGAATAACTCAAATCTGTGTTTACCAAAAACGGAATTATATTTGTTTTCCGTTCTAGTGAGACATTACTAGATTTTTGAGACTGCTATCAAATAAGAAAACTCAACATAAACTTGGCATTATCTTATTGATTATTTGGAGCTTTTAGAAATGATTAATTAATGTGATAAACACAATTAATACAGGAATTTAGTACCATTTAGTTGGTTCTGTTTGGACCAGATACTCAACAGGTTTTTTTTAGGTCTATATATTTTCATTGCTTTCATTTAAAAATCCAGGCCTCAATTTTAAAAGCACAATAAAAGTATTGTAGATACTGTGTCACTAGTACTCATATCTTCTTGGTATGTTATTAATGATATGACTTAATCTGTAACATTAAGAAAGTTGTATTTAATTGTGATAGGTCTTTGTTTTGTTCTATTAGTTCCAGCATATGAATGTATGTAGGTGTATATGAATGTAGCAGTAGTGTTTTTCTTGGTACAATAGAACAATGAGGATCTAGGTTCAGAGTTCATTGCTACCATGTTTTCCATTTGGAGAGAAAGTTAATATTATATGAAGTCCATATACAGTTTTAGAAGCTCTTCCTGTGTATCTTTTTTGCAGTGTGATAACCCTTTCATTGACTCTTAAATATCCTACATTAAAATGAGTGTACTGTCTTTCCCTTTGAATCATTAAGAACGTACAATATGATATAGAATTTTTGATATTTGATCTTTGTTCTTTATAATTAGCTATCAAAGTGGAAACAAATAATTTTAGCTCATTGGAGCTTTAGGAAATGGATGAACCATTGCATTTTTTTTTTCTGCCAAGCAGCGTAATTCTAGATTGTGTGCAGAGAAAGGAAGACTGGGCCTCTGTTCCATATAGGCACTTCCTTTCAGTCATTTTCCTGACCTCTCTGAGCTACTTATCCATGATTTGCTTTGCAAGGATTATCTAACTAAGTATACAATCTTTACAAGTAATGTGCCTTGAGGGTTAATAGGAAAAACATCTGTAATAGTAATATTTTATATCATATTTTTTACCCTTAAGGTCATTCCCTCAGTATTATTGGACAGATAATATGACACTTATGTAAATATTAAACAAGCAGAAAGCTACCAAACTGACTCAGTGTTCACAAGAGGTATCAATAAATTAGAGAAGAAACAGAAATGTTTGGGGTTCAGTGTGTTGAAGTCTGGAAGTAGATTGTTCTTTTTTATTTAGAAAAATTCCAGACCATGTGGCCTTAGAAGTACAATTTATTTTTAAGATGAAAAGGCTGTTTTTAAAGACTCTTTAAAATGTGTTTTACTGGGGCTGGCATAGTAGCATAACAAGTAAAGCCACCTCCTGTGGCACCAGCATCCCATATTGGCAGTTCAAGTCCTGGCTGCTCCATTTCCAATTGAGCTCCGTGCTAATGGCCTGAGAAAGCAATGGAAGGTGACCCAGTTGTTTGGGCCCCTGCTGCCCACGTGGGAGACCTGGAAGAAGCTATTGGCCTCCATCTGGCCCCGCCATAGCCGTTGTGGCCATTTGTGCAGTGAACCACTGGATGGAAGATCTCCTTCTCTGTCTCTTCCTTTCTTTGGAACTCTTTCAAATAAATAAGTAAGTCTTTAAAAATAAAATATATTTTATTATTTGATTATATATCCCCATAAATTGAAAAATGACTAGAGTTCCTACAAATCAGTGGTTGGTTGCCGTGGGTTAGCTGCTTCTAACATTTCCTAAACTTTAGTGAAAATGCATAAAATTAGGCAAATCAGTTTATAAGAATCTATTCAATACCAAAAACAAGCAGCAAACTAAATAATCCTTATTAAAATATGAGATGGAAAAACTTGCAAGATGAAGTCATTTATTGGTTCAGGGCAACCCTGGGCACCTGGGTAGCGACTGAACTCCTGCTGTGACTAATGGTACAATGGCCAGTTCCCACTGTCTAGTCCATGTCAGTATCACAGAGATGTAGCTAGTCTTGGATCCTGCATTTATTTACCATTAACAGGTCACTGAGTGCTAAAACCAGCACTTAGCTAATGAAGTAATGGAACATGAAGAAGAGAAAAAATTATGCTGAAGAATGTGTGGCCCAAAAAGGATACAAGAACTTACCAAATAGGCATTGAATCAAGTATTGCTTAAAATAGTATGTATTAATGTATCTACCAAGGTCAATTTTTATAACCTATCAAAAAAATAAATAAATAAAGCACCAACAAGTAAGTTTACCTTTGTTAGAGATTCTTAGCAGCATCACTTTTGCAGATTTGTATCTGAGTACATTTGTTTTTGCTTATAAAGAACCACAGGGCCAGGCGTTCGATACCATATTGGAAGCCTACATCTCATATCAGAGTGCCCAGTTCAAGTCCTGGCTCCTCGGCTACTGATCCAGCTGATCATATGCACACTGGAAAGCAGCAGATGATGGTTCTAGTGGTTAGGTTTCTGCCACTCATGTGGGAGACTGGGATTGAACTCTGGACTCCTGGCTTTGGCCTAACCTAGCAGGCATTTGGGGAGTGAACCAGCAAATAAAAGATCTTTTTCTATCTGTCTTCTTCTGTCTGCTTTTCAAACAAAAATAAAACTAAATAATTTAAAAAGAATCACACACATTCATTTTCTCTCACCCACCTTCCCACCCTTTGTGTGTGTGTGTGTGTGTGTTTTCGTGTGTGTGTTTGTGTGTGTGTCTGTATAGGAAAAGAAGGAAGGAGAGCAAGAAATTGAGATTTAAAGCCGGAGGCTAAGTGATTTTTTTTCTGAACAAATCTGAAGTAAAGGCTGGTGCTTAAAATGAAATGCCATATCAGCACAAAATGTGAACTGGAGACACTGTTAGAAAATGCTGCCTCACTTGGAACCTAAAGAAAGTGTCGTTCATTTATTTAGCTATCTTTATAGAGTGTTGGTTTTGGATTTGGGTTGATCAGAAAAAATGTAGATGGGAAGTGTTTTTCCAGTACGGAAGTAATTAAAATGGGTGTGGAGACTTTGACAGAGAATTGTGGAAGTGACGTATGTATCAGCAAATTCTTTGTCTTGCTTGGCCTTCATTCCTCTTTGCAAAAGAAATGCTTGGGCTGCACGTGTAACTAATAGATCAGGAAAAAGAATTTACAAACCCATGCAATGTATATAAGGCACAACTGTCGTTTTGGAAATAATAACATGTGTATATATTGAAAGCCAGCCATCAGGGACAGCACTTTCTGTTCCTGAAAACTGTGAAACTTGATGTCATATGGCATTTAAGGTGTTGTGTATGAAAATTGACATTCCTTACGTCCATTTCTTTTCTCTTTGCTTTCTTCTGTGTTGCTGTGTTCTGAATATATTGTTTTTGACCATGGCCTCTAAAGCTAGAGTACTCCTAAAATGGGTACATGAGAAAATGAAAATGTATATTTTCCTCATGTTTTACCTTACTCTGAAATTAAAGCTGTTACTTGATAGAATGTCTTAAATTATGAACTGAAACATTATCTTGTTGTTTATTTCTCTATATTCTTAGTGAATTTATTTGTGTAACTTTGTGCTTCATTTGAGTCATTCTTGAAAATATATGATTTTAATTTTTAATGAGCCCCTGGACAAGTGATTTTGTAGTGAAAATGTTCATGTATCTCACATGTTTTAAAATTGACTTTAGGTCCTTTTATCTCTGGTATGAGATGAGGAAATAATTGATGGCATTCTTTGATTGCATTCTTCATAAATATCTCCAAGTACCTGAATGGGTTTTTTTGTTTGTTTTGGGGGCTTTTTTTTTTTTTTTTTTTTGGCCATCTTCTGCTTCTATTTCTTTGCCTTTTCTCTTTGGGATCTCTTTGAGAGCATTTTCACCAAGAATAGAGCGAAGAAGCATCATAGAAAGGAAATAAAACACAAACAAGGCAACGTTATTTTAGACTTGTTCTGTTCACTAAGGAGTGAGTGGAAATATGGATTTTGATGAAAATGGACTATGAAAGAAATTGTAGGAATTATAACGGCTTTCTCTCTGTAGTAGCTTTGTCTCATCCTAGCCATAGTACCACCAGTTGAATACAGTAAGGAGATCTAAGGGACAATATTAAAATACAGGAAGTACTTATGGTACATATGAGCTAAGATGATAGTTTTTCCATATGGAACAGCATAAAAACAGATTCTGTGGGTAATGGTGAGGGTTGACTCTTTCCCACTTCATAAGTTAAAGAAATTGAGTTTGCTGAGAACTTAATGGTTGTCTGAAATCAGGAAAGGCCTTGGGCTATGTCTTTTTGCTCATGTCTTTACTCATGCTACAGTTGCAAAGAGAAAGGCAGAATGACTCTTGTACTTTTAAGGAAGCATTGGAATTAATTTCAGTTTCAAATAAAAGGTTGAAGTGATCCTCAGAAAGTTTATTCAAGATTTACAGTGTAAATGGTTAAGAAATGTAATAATTCATCTTATGTAAATTGTCATGGTTTATTAATGTTAAAGGTATTATAATCCTTTTTTGCTAATGAAATAATTATTACAATGTTTTCAGAAGACCAAAGTGTTTATCTGAGTATAATTGCCTGTCTAAAAATTAAATGGTACATTGCTTTCATAGTAGGGAAAGCTGAGGGCTTCTTCGGGAAAACAGGCATAGTGTTTTTCTATGTCAAATCAG